GCTCAGGAGACCCTTCCCTTCCCCCAGAGATACACCAGTCTTCAGAGTTCTGTGGGGGCAAATCCAGGCCCTTCGCTGACGCCACATGGTGTACCCCAGGTTCTGAGCACCCACCCGTGGGGAAAGCCTTAGGGGTCTACTCTACTCCTTTGCCACCTTGATCTCAAGATATAATAGTCAACTCTGTCTCTGTCTCTGTCTCTGTGTGTGTTATATATACATATATATTTAAGACAGATGGTATCCTGTGTAAGCTATTCCTCCTAGTCCTCAGCTCTGGGGAACCTCGCCCGTGTAGGAGGGTAATCACCAAGAAGAAGCTTGCTATCAAGAGAATTGTTTAGCGGCGCTTTTAGCTCTGACTTTGCTATTTTGTCGGGTAAGGAAGCTTTGCTCTTTCCATTTGGCATTTGGAGTGCATTAAGAGCAATTAACACCGGTACTTGTGAGCACAAAGTGTCAGGCTATCTTTAGGCAAAATGCCTTGCCCTCAACTTTTTTTTTCAGTTGACAAAAGAGAGCCAGGCTAATGCCTTTTCCCCCTAAGTTTTAAAAAACATAACTTGATGTCACTTGTGGTTTTATATTAGCCTTTTGATTACAGCCATAGTTGGTCCAGGGACCTCAAACTGATAGAAGCACTTGACCATATCTTCTCTACAAATGTTGTGTAGAGAACCCCCTCCAGGGTTTAATTTATTTTTAGACACTGGCTTCCAGTGGCTACAATTAGGAGAAATTCAATGAAACTCTCGACCTCCTGCTTTTCTTGAAGAGTAAGGAAATCGGGCAACACTGGACCTTTGTTCCTGACGGCCACCCTTTGCTCTGCTTCTCTCTGGCTTCCACAAGCTTCTGAGTTGAACTCCCTAGGGGAGAAGATTAAGAAGTCATCCAAAACGTCCGAAATATCCACTCGACTCCAGGCCAATTCAGGAGAGGTTTCCACATTCCGATGGCAGTTGTTTTGAAGCTAGCTGTACCAGCCCCAGCTGCGGATTAGGGACTGCTCTCCCTCACTCTCCTTTGATGCTTTTCCTTCTCTTAGGACTCTTTCTCTGTCTGCGGCATCTGGGTGGCTCAGTTGGTTGAGGGTCCGACTCTTGATTTCAGCTCAGGGAGTGATCTCATCGTTCATGAGATGCGGATACTGCTTGAGATTCTCTCTCCCTGCCCCTCACCTGCATGCACACTTTCTCTCTCAAAATAAATAAACTTAAACAAAAAAAAGACTCTTTCTTTGTCTGTAGATGGTTTCCTGAAAGGGCCACCATGGTGCCACTATTCAGCACTCCGTTTAATGGTTTTTACATCTGGAGGGCAGACATTTTTTCACTGCCCAGGTGTGCCTCAGAGATATTGGATGTTCGGTTCCAGACCACCGTGTAAGTACGTGTTGCCAAAAAGTGAGTCAAATTGAATTTTTTGGTTTCCCAGTGCATATAAAAGTTATATTTGCACTATATTGTAGTCTATTAAGCATGCAATTGCATGATGTCTCAAAAATCAAGTACTTACCTTAATTAAAAAATACTCTAGTGCTAAAAAAATACTAACCGTCATCTGGCCTTTTATTTATTAAAAAATTTTTTTTAATGTTTTATTTATTTCTGAGAGAGAGGGAGAGACAGCATGACCAGGGGAGGTTCAGAGAAAAAGGGAGATACAGAATCTGAAACAAGGCTCCAGGCTCTGAGCTGGCCATCAGCACAGAGCCCGACGTGGGGCTCGAACCATGAACCATGAGATCACGACCTGAGCTGAAGTCAGACGCTTAACTGACTGAGCCACCCAGGCGCCCCTCATCTGACCTTCTAAAGCCAGTCATCATCACAGATCACAGATCACCACAACAAACACAATACTAATGAAAACGTTTGAAATATCATGAGAATTACCAAACTGTGACACAGAGACACCAAGTAAACAAGTGCTGTTGGTAAAATGGTGCCAATAGATCTGGTCCAAGCAGGCATACCACAGACCTTCATTTTGTAAAAAATTGCAGCATCTGCAAAACTCAGTAAAGTGAATCACAATACAATGAGGTATGCCTCTACTCTCCTTGCTCTATGGTTAGCACAGTCCTTTGAATATCTTGGAAGGTCCACTGATGTGGAAATGAGACCAGCCATAGTGGCCATAGCACACCTGCGGGGGTGATGGAAATCAAGGATTAACAGACCATCCAAAAAAATGCAAGGGGTCTAGGTGGTAGGAGGTGGGGTAGATCGAGAAGGAAAAAACAAGAAAAGATAGTTGAGTACAGGGTTCAAGGACAGAGGCCGTGGCCCAGGCAGAGGCCTGGGGACTGAATGCTTAGGAAGTGTGGTTTTGGATGGAGAAAGCGTAGGGCAATTTGGTGGGGTCAGAGAGCGCCAACACAGGCTGAGGTTGATCTGACGGATCCCTGGACTCTCTTCTTTCTCTCCGCCTTCATATCCAAGTCTCCAGAACATTCCACGGACATATTTTCAAGATGCTTCCAGACTCCACCTATATCTCACAACTGGCATCGTTACCACCCTGCACAACTGCCAGAGCCCCCTTTTCAAGTGGAGGCTCTTGTAAACAGAGGGATCCAAACTGCCCGCTGGCCCGTAAGATCCTACAGGATTTGGCCTCGGTGACCTCTCTGATCACATTTCTCCTTCTCATGTCCCTTCAGGCACAGCAACACACTTATTAGTTTCGGAGCATGGTAAGAGGCTTTACATTTGCTGTCCCCTGAGCTCAGAGCGCTCTTCTTCCAGAAAGTTCCAAAGTTCACTCACTCCTTCTAATCAAGTGTCTGGCCTTCCCTGGTCGCAGAACCCTCCTCCTCACACCACACACATAAGGACATGACTCCTTTCTCCTGCTTCTCCTAAGAACACGTTGCATTCTGTTATATATTTATTTGTTTCATTGTTTGTGTTTCCCACCAGAATGTGAGTGCCCAGAGAGCACAGACTTTCTTGGCATATAGTATACTCTCAACTAATAAATGAAGGAGTCGAGCAGATAAGGGGAAGTGAGAGTTGCCAGAGTCAGGGTTGCCTCGGGGGAAAGAGGTAATATTTAAGACACAAGAAGAGATTTTCTATACAACACTTGGCATATGCGATAAATATTTAATTCAATTCAATTCAGTTGAAGCACTTATAGTGCAATTACTATATGCAGAACACAATGCCAAGGGTTGTTCAGGATAAAGGATAATTAAAGTGTGGTCCTGCCTGTAAGGAGTTTATAGTCTAGGGCAAATGAGATCCCTTAGTTACTTTTTCACCCCCCATAACATGGCTGGATTTTCAGCAATACACACTAACCTCCTGGAGAGTTCTCTCCCATCCACCCTCCACGCCTGGCCCAGAGTGGTTTTTCTAAAACTTTTAAAATATGTATTTATTTATTTTGGGGAGAGAGAGGGACAGCGCAGCAGGTGAGGGGCAGAGAGAGAGAGAGAGAGACAGAGAATCCACAGCAGGCTCTAGCCTCCCAGCTGTCACCACAGAGCCTGATGTGGGACTTGAACTCACGAACCGTGAGATCATGACCTGAGCCGAAGTCATACGCTTAACTGCCTGAGCCACCCAGGTGCCCCGAGTGGTCTTTCCAGAATGTACATCTGATGACAGCACTGCCTTGCTCAGAACCTTCAGGGGGTCACTGTGGCCCTGGGCCAAAGGTTCAAGTCCTTTGACACAGTATACAAAGCCCTCCAGGCCTGGCCCCAGATTTCTTCTCTGCGAGCCCTCGCCACTTTCTTACAGCCTAGTTTGTGCCCAACGGGGATTTCCGGTCCTCTAACTGGACTACTCTGTCTTCCCTCTGGGTCTTGGAGGTTACTGATTCGGGGTCTGAGCTCGGTGACTCTTGCCCTTTCTCCTCTCCTTCCTTTGTGCCTCCTCTGCTCTTTCGGGTTCTCCTAGTTTTTCACTTCCTCTGAGAAGCCTTGACACCTGGCCTGATCTGACCAAATCCCCTCCTCTTGATGTCCCAACCCCACCCCCACCCCACAGGGTCAAGGTCCTAGCTCCTGCTTCCTCAACGCCCTGGTTCTTTCCAAGCCATGCCTTGTTTTATCGTTTCCCCACCAGACCAAGCTCCAGGAGGACAAGACTGTCCTATTTTACCTCGGTCACCTTTTGACCGTCTTTACCCAGCATGCGTGTGTGTTCATTAAGTATTGAATGGATGAAAATGCACTTGTTTGATAGGGTTGTTCCTCATAAAATAATTATATCTTACACTCACTGAGTGCTTGAGATAGGGCAGGCTCCATTGCAAGTGTTTTTACAAGCGTACCACGGACATCTCACAGACCCCTAGTTAGTAGGGGCGGGGTATGTCCCCGTATAGCAACAGATGGAGAAACTAAGGCACAGAGAGCTTAAGTAACTCCACCAAGGTCAAAGGCGAGGACCTGGGAGAACCCGGGTTAGACCGCAGGCTGTGTCGAGTTCGGTTCGGCCACAACTTCCAGTAAGTTCTGCCGCAGAATGAAGCGCAATATGGGGTTCCGCCAGGAGAACAGATTCGTCTCCCGACACGGGCTTTGTGCCTGTTTCCCGGGGAGAGGACGAGCGCCCTAGCCCTCTCCCTGGTCAAGGCTCCTGGGTCCTCTGCGGGGCTGTGGGAAGGGCCTGTGCTTCTTGCCGGCGGCCGGGCAGCCTGCGTGTGAACCTCTGATTAACTTTCAGAGCTGCCCGGCCCACCCACACCCCCGCGCCGGGTCCCCGGGTGGCCCTCGCGCCCCTCCCCCCCGCGCCCCCGCGCAGGTGCGTCTGGGCGGGAGCACCAGCCCGCGAGCGCCCCGCCAGGCCCCGGGCCAGCCGCCCCACCACCTCTCCGGGGGCGGGGAAAGGGGCGGGCCCGGGGCGGAGCTTCTCGCCCAAGCCACCGCCCTCGCCCCGCGCGCCGCTCGCCCGGGCGCTGCGGGCCGGGCCGGGGGGGCGGGGATTCGGGAGGGGCGGGAGCGCGGCTGCCGGTGCGGCTGCGGGGGGAGAGGGAGGAGGCGGCGCGTCCCCAGAGGCGTGCGCCCGGACCGCTGGCCGCCAGGCGGACGCGCGGAGGGAGAGGGCCGGGGGCGAGGTCGGTATCCGGAGCGAGCGCGGGCTGCGCGCGGAGGGGCGGCGGCGCGGGCGGCCGGACACCCGGGGCAGGGGGCGGCGAGGGCGGTGGCGGGCGCGGGGCCGGCTCGGCTCCCCGGGGGTCGGACCCGAGACCCTCCCCTGGCCGGGCCGGGCGCGCCACGAGCGCGCCCCGGCAGCGGAAAGCGCGGCCCCCGCTCGCTTGTCCCTCTGTCTCTTTTCTTTCCAATCAGCGAAAAATAAACACCCGGGAAGGTAAAACAATAGCTGGGCCACCTGGGACGCGGCGCGCGCGGAGCTCCCACGTTTGGGGCGGGCGGGGGCCGGAGGTGGACCCGGGAGCGGCGGCCGCGCGGCGGAGCCCCCTCCCTAGGTGCCCCGCGGAGGGTGGGGCTACGGGCCGCGCCGGGCTCGGCCGGAGGCGAAGGGAATTCCCTGGAGTGAGGCGTGTGGGCAAAGTATCGCAGGCACCAGCCGGCTTCGCGCCGCTGCCCGGCTCCGGGCGGGGAAACTGAGGCGGGGGCCGGTGGAGCGCCTTGCCCAAGGTCAGGATGCACGGGTGGGCTGTTCGGGTCCACGAACGGGACCCGGGCGTCCGGAGCAGCCCAGCGCTCAGCCCGTCTGGGTTTGGCGGCGCTGGGTTCGCCTCGGCTACCACTCCCTTGTGTTCCTTTCAGGAATCTGCTGGCATTGTGGGGACCCGCTTCGCCTCGGGGCCGCTGCTCGCCAACTTGCTTGGTTGGTTCTGGGTAGGTCTGGGGCCGGTGGCGGCTCCGTGACCTCCCGACATGGATGGAGACAGACTTTTGGATGAAGAAACCCAGACGGTCGGCGCGGTTCCTGGGCCATTTAGCTGTCAAAGGTTTTGACAAAATCGACGCCGCCTTCCCTTTGGGGAATCCGAACGAGGGAGCTTACACACACCTTCACTGGGAAGCCAAGGACATTTCTGTATAATCAGTGGATGAAAGGATTTTCTCAGACTCTTTTTTCCCTTTTCCTCGAGGATTAATTCACTGCAATCTACAATTCCAGTGGAAACCGCAAGGCACAGGATGTGACAGAAACCTAGAGGGCCTTCAGAATTGTTCTGGACCCTTCCTTTAGCACAGGGTAGTTTTCACCCAAGCCACTGGCCACCCTTCCCCCCCACTCGTCTTGCCGACGATCTCTTCTTCACGTCTTCCCATTTTTTGAGTTGAGTTCTGTTTCCACACCTGCCCTCGAGCTGTACGTGGATTGCCAGAAATGAGAGATTAAGTGCCGAGAGAAGAGGAAGCATCCTGTCCTGTGTCTCTTGTCTGCTGCCGACATGAAGTGCTTTTTCCCAGTGCTCGGTTGTCTGGCCGTGCTGGGTAAGTGGCTCTGCCTATCAGTGCGATCGTTGTGAAAGTTTAACCTGCCTTTGGTTCCTGTAGTTCTTTGTGGTTCTTTCCCATCCACACTTGGCTCTGCGGGAACCCCAGGGTGCAGCCGGCGTGTGTGTGCCAGGCTGGACCGGGACCCAGGAGGAGCGGTGGGGTATTGTGTGTTGTCTTCAACGAAGGAACATCTGCTGTCCTTGAACTGTCTGTCCCGGGCCTTGCCCCATCTGTGTTTCGATGGTTTAGGGACCCGGTTGTGGCTCATGGGTTGGCTTCCTCAACTTCAGCGTCTTCCCTTCTGTGCTGGTCCACATTGGTTCCTAATTCGAAGTGGCCACGTTATTCTTACTGCGGGGAAAGTTGGTTTGGTGGTAAAGAGGCTGTGTTTTGTGAGTTCGGGGTGTTTTTGTTTTGTTGAGGAGGAAGTAGGCATGAGTGGAGTAGGGTGGCGAAGGGCTGCATTGCCCTGGCTGAGTGGTCTGGAGACTAAACGTGTAAGGGTTCCAGTCTTACGTCCCCTCACTGGAGGAGTGGAAAGCCTCTCGAGAGCGGGTGTGTTCCGATTGGTTTTGCGGGGGGGTGGGGGGGGGCGCACTGCAGAAGGCCAAGATGCCTAGAGCAGGATGGAGAGCTGTGGCCCTGGGAAGGGAACCCTTCACACCACTCAGGGCATTCACTCCCCATTGCATATTTGCCATACCCTTGAGCACCATCTTGAGTGTGGCATCTGAGGACACATCTCGGGTCTGGGATAAACGTCCATGCCAGGAGCTCATGCAGCCTTTGTCCATGTCCTCAGACCTCACATGTGTTCACAGCCTCTGACCCCTGGGTGTGGTTCCGTACCTTGCATGTGTTTGGAAGAGGGCATCACGGCTGCCTCTGGCGTTTGCATCTCTAGGTGTAGATACCTTGCATTTGCGGAGTTTAGGTGTGAGCTGCGGGCAGTGGAGACTCCTCTCCTGCACTGTTGGCACACTTGCAGGAGTTCACAGTTGGGTGGAAAGAACCGGATTTCAGAGTTAGGGAGCCAGATTTGAATCTCAGTCTCCTCACAACTGCCGTACGCCTCTCTGTAAAATGGGATGATACCTCCGAGGCCCAGCTTGCGGGTTCAGGGCTCTAAGGTGTCCTAAATATCTTGACTGCCTTGAAGCAGGTCTGGAATACAAAATACACATTCTGTCGGTGGGTCTCAAACTTGGGTGCAGGTCGGAATCCCTGAGGGAGCTTTTTAAATGTTTCGATGTCCAGGCAGCAGCCCCAGACCAGTTCAGCCAGATTCTCTGGGACTACGACTGAGGCACCCTTCTGCTCCCCTGGGTAATTCCAAGTGAGAGAAGCAGTGTGTGAGTTCATCAGAGCCAGCCCTCCTGGCCCCAGCACACACACAGACGCAGGTCTGGTGATAGTCAGTGTTCGGCCCAGGCGTGGGCGAGGGTGCCGTGCCCACCCCTCCCCCCCCCCCCCCCCGTCTCCTGTCTGTCCGTCCGTCTGTCCAGGCAGAGTGGAGAAGGCAGGTAGCTCTCTGTACGCCCGTCCTGAATATCCTATTGGAATTTGTTATATACCATGTTTGTCATTCACTTAGTGTCTGGGTTTAAATCAGTCATTAGTGATTCATGTGGATTCACCAGGACAAACAAGGAAAGCCCTGGGGGTCCGGGGAGGGCTGGATGACTTAGGTGGGACAGAGAGCTGGGTGGAAGGGTGGGACCCAGGGCTGGAGGAGGAACCGCCCAGGGCTAAACAGGGAACTGTGACTTTTGTGCCTTTTGTCTCTCCCAGCTGGGCTGCTCTAGAAATGTGAGGCCCCCTGCCAGCCCGCCCCCCCTGCCCCCCTGCCGTTTGCCCTGGGCCACTCTGTGGAATGGAGCTGGGGCCCTGCCACTGCTAGCTTCCCTCCACTCCCAGCTTCCCGTGTGAACAGGTGCCGTGGAGGCAGTGAACGTCAAGGTGGCATGGAAGGGGAGCCGACAAGCAGACGTGAGCGCGGGTGGGAAGGCTCAGAAGTGTGGGTGTGCCTGGTGTTTTTGCATGCACCCCACTGGCGGAGTCTCATGTCTCCCCTTCCCTGGCCACTCAGTGTGGCCGGGAGGGGGTATTGCTACTCTGCCGTTAACCTTGGACAGCAAGAGGTGTTTGGGGAGGGAACAGAACCCAGGTCACGGGGTGGGGGGTATTTCCTGCTTGCGGTCCGATGTGGGCCGATTCATGCATCAGCATTCTCCCCGTGTAATGTAAATTAATGTGTCATTTCAAAGAGCAGAGAATCCTGAGGCTTTGCGCTACTGTGGGTCACACACACCTGGAGTACGATTTTGTCTGCCAAAAGCAGGATGAGGCCGAGCATGCCGGCACTGACACAGGTGCCGCCAGCCTCCAGAAGTGGCAATTCGGGTCCGAAAACCCCGTGACAGCACATGAGGCTGTGTACAGGGCAATCTTCCACACGCCCGCACCTCCTCCACGGCGTTAGGCCCATGCTTTCTGCTCCCATCCTTTGCCAGCGTCTGGGGTCTGGGTCGGGGTCCTCGTTTCCCCCCTGTCTAGGTGCTGAGTCCTGCCCTTGCCTTTGTCCCTGCCGAAGCCACACACGCACCGCTTTCCTGCCTTCTTGACCACTGAGCCTCGTTTCTTCCTCTGGCAGCTCGGGGTGCCCCACCCAGCTTGGGAACCATTGGCTGCCACGGGGCCGCCCTCGTTCCAATTCCAAAGCCATGGTAGGCCGGGGCCTGGTTGAGCCTTGAGGATAGTAAAGTCACCACTGCTGGTGCGTGGAGCCAGAGGGGCAGAAGAGGAGGGAATGTGGCCTGCGTGTGAAGAGGAGGGGGCAAGGCTGTGGCTGTGGCCGGCAGCACCCTGCACGAGCGACAGTGACATGGAAAGATGACAGCCAGAGAGGAGAGACAGAAATGATTTGTGTTTGCAAGAACAGGAAGGGGACAATCAGGAAGGATGAGTATAAGCTCCAGGCACAGAAAGCAGATTCCGGCTTTGCATAACGATGAATAGTATGCCCTCCTAGACGGCTGCCGATGTTGCAAATGAGATGAAATAGCTGGAAAAGTGTTAGCGAGGAAAGATGGGGGCTGGGGGTTGGAACATCCCGGTATCCTCGCAGGAAGAGTCCATGGCTGGCTAGTGACCATTTGGGTCCTCCAGGGGGAGAGGATTTCATCATAGAGTTTGAGGAGCCTCTCCCTTGAATGGGTCAGGACTAAGGCAGTGATCACCGGCCTCCCAGTTAGTCAGGGAGGGCTTCTTAGGGTAGAGTCCACGGGGTTCTTCCAAAAGAGACTGAAGGACACTTTGATGTTCTGATGAGTGTGAGCTCTGGGGCAGGACTGGTGATCAAAGGCAGAAGAGAGAAGTGAGGCCTTGTGGGGTGGTGGGGGGAAGAGCTGATGATGGTGATTTACGGATGAACGAATAGCGTCCCCCCCAGTTGTCTCAGAGCAGATCCACTTCCCTTCCCGAGGGACCATTTGACAAGGGTGCTGGAGAAGGGAATTCTTTTTTTTTTTTTGACAGGGGGAGGGGCAGAGAGAGAGGAAGACAGAGGATCTGAAGTGGGCTCTGCACTGACAGCTGACAGCAGCCAGCAGGACGAGGGGCTCGAACTCATGAACCGTGACATCATGACCTGAGCTAAAGGCAGACCCTCAGCCAACTGAGTCACCCAGGCGCGCCCCACGGGAGAAGGGAATTCTTGTCAGAAGGACTCAACTGGCTAGGATGCCTTTCAACTGCGAATGAGCGAGCCACCTCTGTGCCCCCAGGGCTGTGAAGACGCCCCAGTCTCCTGCGTGTTGCTTACCGCCTCTCCTGGCTCTGGCCTTTGCCGTGAAGCAAGCCCTATCTTGTCAAGTCCTCAGAATATCCTCGCTGGATAGATGTCTCACATTGTCACCTTTTTGTAGATGGAGACATTGAGGTTCAGGGAGGTTAAGGAACTTGCTTCAGGTAGACCCCTGTCCCCCCAGTCCAATACGATGCTCCACAGTGGTGTGGGTCCAGGCCCCTTCTGTCTTGGCCCATGTGTGTGCCTCCATTCCCAAGGTCACGACATGGTCCAAGATGGCAGTGCTAGCCCCCACCATGGGGGAGGAGAAGGATGGGTGAAGGGCAAGGGCAAGACCTCTTAATTTAAGGATGCTTCCTGAGTCACACACATCTCTTCTGCTTATATCGCCATTGGCTAGAACTTGAGTACATGACCATACGTGGCTGCAAGGGAGGCTGGGAAATATCCTTAATGCTGAGCGTACAGCAAAAGACAGGGTTGTGTTGCCGCTGGGGAAGGAGAGAACAGATTTTGGGGGGACAGCTAGGGGTTGCGGGCAGAGTTGGCCGAGCTGGTAAGCGGCAGCACAGGGTTTTGAAGCCAAGATCATTTGGTTCAAATCCTGTGTTCTTCCATCTCACCAGCTGCCCCTCTGTGAGCATGTGGCCCAGCCATGGCCTTTAAGCAGCCTTATTGGGAGGGCCTGAGCCAGATGAGCCAACAGTTGTTACTTGGGAAGCAACATAAATCAGCACATAATTACACAGGCAGTGTTGTGGTGTCAGCAGCAGGGCTGTAGTGTTGATAGAACGCGCATGTGCCAGCCACTGCTCACTTTACAGAGCAAGCCCTTCTGTGTTAAGGGGCCACCTCTGTCGTGCTCACTGCTGTAGCCCCAGAACTCGGCCGTAAGTGTGTGCCGGCATGAAGTAAGTAGGTGTTCAGTTAATTTTTTTGGTGACTAAGTGGTTTCTGTATTGGCTCCTTGGATCAAGATAAGGAAACTCATGGTCCAGGGAGTTTAACTCCTTTTGCTCAAGGGATGAGAGCTAGAGATTTGCTATAGGGTTTGTGCCTTTATGCCACCCCAATGGTGCCACCTTGTTTGTGTCACCAGGTCCTTTGAGCAGTCTGGTGAAGCCACTGGGCCCTTTCTTTGGGAAGTGTTTTGAAATTCATAACTAAAAACACACTAACAGAGGAA